ATCCAAGATTGCTGTTGACTGAACATTTCAGTAAGTGGAACGTACAGTCATGGCAGTGTCCCTGATGTTGACAACATTCCTACACTTCAGTGCTGATTATTTTTCTTCTCCTCAGTCCTTCTTAAGTGTGCAGTGGTCCAGTGTGCTGAAAAGCCAGCAACTGCTAAAACAGCATATGGCTGTGCTAACTAGCAGTTGGGTAGCAGAAGAGGGACCGTGTTTGGCTAGGATTACAGCAGATAATTAGTGAAGATTTTCATTACTGAAGTGCTGAGGAGCCACTGGGGCAACTGTCCGCACTTGTCAAAGTGCCATGCAGTAATCTGGCCACCAGTGATGAGGATGTGTGTCTTGGCTGAAAATTACCACCTGCACGGTAGTGCAGCACAGTTGCAGCTGGATTTGCTCGGTAACTACTCGGGATTTGCTTGCTCCATACCCCATATACCTTTGTTAGCGGGCCTATACTGGTTACCTGATGGACTTCAGGGATTCCTGTCCTGATCCTGCTTAGTTTATGAAATGTGATGAGGTCAAAACTTACTGCTTTATGTAGAGCTTCTGATCTTTTTGCTGTTGAACTAAGAATGCTACGACCCTGCTAAAAGAAGGAGGTGGCTCTGCTGACTTCCCTGGGGGGTTTCAAAAGGTCTGCTTGCCACAGATTTTTTTTTTTTTTTTTTTAAATCATACCAAATAAATTGTTTTTTTTCTGATGTGTTGTGTTGGCCAAACAATGACTGGTGCTTCATTTCAAATTTACAGTATTGCATTTAAACAGTTTTTAAAAACTTGTATTCGGCTACCTAATTAAATTTGTAAATAAATATTTCAGTTTTGGGAAAAGGAAGAAAGCTGGTTTGCACTGAAGCCATACCAAGCTCTTTGCACCTCTCTCGAGCTGTACGTGTGATACAACCCAGCCACCTGCCGGTCAGCTACCTAGTATACACAAATTGCAGGCAGGTATTTCTTGACAGCAGAGGTATTTGGTACTGTAGGGAGCTTAGATCAGAGGGGATGCCACAACTGCGTATCCAGAGTTCGTTCGGAGCAACTTCCACTGACCTCCTGGTCTGAGGATGCGGTTCCAAGTCAGGAAGACAACTTTAACTTTCCTGCTGCAGGAAATTCAGCTGATTACTCCTTATGTTTCAAGACAGATTGCTGGACCTCGGCCTTGATCGAAGGTTTTCAATATACAATCTGCAAAACTTTGTGCTAACAGTCCATGAAGAAACTTTCTGATCACTGTCTTCTCCTGACCAAAGGGTATTTGTATTGGAGATTGATTTTGCTGTGAGGCTCCCAGCTTGGTAGTCTTCATATTAAGTTCTTCTGCACGACAAAAATGTAGGCCTTAAGCCAAGGATTGTGGTGTAACTGAAATGTTTCAGAAATTAAACATTGCATGACTGCATACTGCTAGGAGGTTTGAGTCGGATTCTTTAAACGTTTCTGTGTGTTCTCCTTCCTCAAATAAGTCCCTGTATTCTTCACAGCAGGGTGGTTTAGTAGGGCAGGAGCTACTTCTCTGAGTTTGCGTCTGCCCTTTCAAGATACGTAGAAAGGTGGGAACAGAGGTGAAAACATGGATTGTATTAATCCAAAATGCTCTTGGCAAAATTACTTGTGCTATCAACCAATGTTCATTTTAATTCTTAAGACACAGAGAGTTGATGTAAATATTTCTTTAAATGGCCCACGATTTGCAAGCTGACCACAGCTTGGTAAACTTGGATTGGTAAACTTGAAGATGTTTTTTTGTCTTACAGGTGTACGAGAGGTTGGTGTGCTTCCCTTTGCCACAACCGGCCGTTAGAAGTGTTGGGCTAATGCAATCTGAGGTATTTTTCCATTCTTATTTTCTTTTATTAGCAAAAAAAAATGGGATAACCTCACCAGACTTCCTTAACTTTGCTAGTACCTGCTAATGCTCAAATGTAATTCACTATAAAGTTTTACCCAAGGGAAACCCCAGACTGTAGTTTCTTGCCTGCGATTGACAGAAATCTTTACTCAAAGCCTTAACATTCTATTTACAGCTCTTCTTTTAGTTATGTAAGACTTGATCAAACTTCCCTTGATACAACAAATTGTGTCCCAGATGTTACAGCAAAAGTTGCACAGAGGTTTTGCGGAACGATAATCGTGTGTTTTGCCCCATATGCCTCTCTAGTACCCCCTGTTCTGGAGCAGCTTGGTGGTCCACCTATTGAAGGTGGAAAATCCTCTGTGGTGGTCTGCGCTCAGCAAAGACTTGGTGGAGTTTAGCTGATAGAGTCTCTATCAGCCACAAAAGTCTGTGGCTGTAGCGGCTACAGCCGGTCCAGCTGTGCAGAGATTATTATTTTCTCTGCAGTATCTCCTCCGAGTTGCTTGCAGGCCACTGCAAAATTGCAAACAGAGACAGTCTCTCCTGTGTTCTCCCGTGATGGTCCTGCCTCTGTCCTGCAGGGAAGGTGCAGAGGAAGAAAATTGGCATTGCTGAGCTTGTGGCTGAAATGAGGAAAATTAACATATGCTGCTGCGTAGAGAGAGTGGAAGTGAGGCACTAAGAAAGCCTGCAGGTAAGAAAGTAGTTGAAAAGCAGTTATTGACTTGTAGCTGTTTGTCCCCGTAAGTGTGGCCTAAAAATTTCTGCATCAATAGAAGCAAGAGCTGGAGGTGACAGGAAACTGCAACAATGCTGTATAGTCTGTGCAACAAATAAATACCTTGGGTTTCCAGTGGCAGGCGGTCTAGGGGTGGTACTTACGCATTCTCAGTAGTCGATATGAATGGTGGTTCAAGCAAATACAGATTTTTCTGCCCTGGTCTGAACAGACTGTGGTTCTCCCTTCATAAATACTTAGTCCGTGCTCCTGTCTCCCGCCATCGGCCTCTAAGCACTCATGCATTATCCAGACAGTGCTATACTGCAAGCTTTCTCTGACTTGGCAGTCCTCCTTCTGTTACTTGGAAGGAGACAAAGACCCGTAGCCCTGTGCAGAGCCTGGGTCTTTTCCTCGTCTACTGCCTCACACCCCCACCTACAACGTGTGACATGATGCATAATATTATTTTATGATGTGTTGTGATGTTAAGGAAAAAGGATGAGGGACCTATTCTCCACAGTCCCCTACTGATGATGAGGCTGTGCCTGTTCATGGACCAAATTGCAAATTCTCTAAAAACTGCAGGAAAGAAAATGTTTAGGTCAGATATATCATGAAGGTAATAAATGAAGTATTCTGTACTAATAGATAAGGTATGACTTAAATGGATATGTGGGAATGGAGATGTAGGCATTGTCTTTCCTGTAATTTTACAGACAAGTTATGCAACAACAGAAATTGCAGAAGATTGTTATATTAAGTACCCACAAAGGATCATTCCTTATTCCTCATATTACAGAGAAAATACCATAACTGTAAACCAAAAAATGTGAAGTCTCTCAGCTGTCTAGCAGGGGCATTTTGTTTTATCCGGTAAAAAACAACTGAGATGGGTGAAAACATAATATGACTAAATTTTTTTAAAATTAATAATTACAGCGTCTGTCCCATAATAAAGATTAACTGACTTTTGAAAAAAAGCAGATGAGGACCTTCAGGGTAATACTGGAATCATAAAATATATGACACCAAAAAACTGTACTTGAAGGGGAAGAATTTCTCACACTTTGTAAAATTTTTCCATGACCTTTCATGATACAGTGTACGATAGCCAGATGATGATTACTCATCGAGCTCTGAGATTAAATGCAAAATGACTGACCAGGGTCATACATGTACTAATGCAAGAAGTAAGGCTTTCCGTAGCTGTGAGGGCTACGGAATATATATATATATATAACCATTTACATTCTGTGGCATGCATATGAGAAGTCATTGCCTAGAACAGAGGATGTATTGCATAGTTATAACCCATTAGTGGACTATAATTATTTTTTCAAGGCCAGTTTAACTCAAGATTTACTTACTAACAAACATTGAAAACAGTAACAAAAACATGGGTTTATTTTGCTTTGCTGGGCTAGTATCTGGAGGACATAAAGTGTTGCTATTTGGGTCAGATACTAGAGGACATTCCTGGTGCGTGCTTATGGAGTATGCTAAGCAGGGGATTTAGTGATGAAGAATACCAGCAAAGTGTGGAGACAGGTTTAGAATTACTAGCAAGACATTTCAGACTCTTATTCTTGGTAAAGTTAGCTTTTATATATTTCAAGAAATGGAAACTACCGACATAATTCAGCTGTAAAATGTGTCACAACTATTCTCGTCTGGGGTTGGACACACGTTACCAAAGGTTTTGGTCAACAGCTCCTCTGTCTTGTCTGAACAGTGGGTTATAAAACTGGCAGTAGGCTTGGTATCTCTCCGTGGCATCTGATGAGGCCCAGAAGCTGATAATACTGATTGTTTGTGAGAGCTTTGAGCAAAGTGCCTTTCTAAAGACGAGCAAGTCTTTTGGCAAGCTTCATTTATGTAAATTTGCATGTTTTTCTTTTTAACCCATAATTCACTTGTTTTTGTTGTTTGGTTGGAACTTTCTTGTTGCTTGAATTAATGCAGTAATTAATTAGATGAGTATTTTTGTCCTGCTAGTCCTCTTAAAGGCATATG